TCAGGAATCAATTATTAAGATTTCAAAAAATAGAAATTTTATGATCGGATTACTCAGTTAATAATTGCACTTGTCTTTTTGTTTTTGTCATCGTTATTTTTAGAATTTATTTTTTAATGATATTTATAAAATTTATTATTATTTCTATTAGAAAAGAGTGTTTCCTATGTCATATGAAAGACAATGATTTTCATTATATAATTGCCCAAAATATAATCTGTTAATCTATTGAAAGTAGAATAATAATGACACATTGTTTTGTATTATAGCGATCATTTATTTCTGTATACATGTAACATTAGCTGTTTAATTACATGTTCTTTTGTCTTCGAATAATATTTCGAACTCATATTTTTTTTTAATTATTTTCCGTGCACTCTGAGTACGAAGAACTTTCTGATTTTTTATTAATGTATTTGAAGATATAACATAGTATGGATCAAAAGCAGCTTTTACAAAATCTGTCAACATCAATAATTAATTTTAAAGAAACTTTTAAAAGTTCATTATCATCTAATGATATTAGTTTAATCTATATATATATATGATTTTATTGGTGCAACATGAACATATTATTGATTTCATGCAAACTTCATTCTAAATGTTTTAATAAAGATTTAATGCGTATGTTTCAATCAGATAAATAATTGTAAACTAATAAGAAAGAGATCATAGACAGGACGTGAGTGTGTCTTTCCCGTATATCTACACTAATATTACAATATGCGCATACACGTAAAAACAATTATGGGCAGGAACTTTTTTCTATAATTTCTGATACTGTATTCTTGTTTTCGTAATTTTGCTACTCGAATGAAATGAAGAAAAAAAATGATCTCCACAAGAATCTATTTGTAACGACTGTTATGCGATATATTTGACAACTAATACACCATAGACGTATATGTATTGAATGCTGAAATGTTTTTAAAAAAAGTCCTAGAAACTTTGACTTTTGTATACACTCTTTCTATTAGTTTTCTTACACCAAGAATTGATTTGAATTAAGTAGATAAAAACTTCGAAATTCGATAGAGATAAATATATTTTCAAACTAATCTTTGATCAAATACTTAAGTAAACTTGAACTTAGCATTGCTCACTAACTATACTATTGTAAAATCATTTCTTTTGAAGAAAAAAATCTTTCTATTCAAATTATTTCAACCATTATTATTCTATTTTTCTTGAAAAATTATAAAAAATTTTGTAGACATCAAAGATAGTGACATCTATGATGATGTACTGTAGGATACAGTCTGTAATTACTTCATTAGATTTAAAATCAAAGTGATTGATATTTTATAATTTTACTCGTTTAGAAAGTGTAGCAGAATTTGTTGTTTTAACAGACTTGAACTTTTACATTCTTGACAATAGTCATTAATATTAGGAGAATCAACGATCCATATAGACAAGGTAATGACCGAAACGGTGTTTAAATGCTTTCATATGTAAATGGGAACAAAGTGTTTGATTCATTACTCAATATTTTTACGGATTTTAACTTGTTTGTGGTGACTAATCAAATATTTTATTCATGATTTGAATGTTTTTAATGAAAGTACTGTTAACAAAATAATATATTCATCTAAACAAAAGAATTCGAAATGTAGATGGTTCATATATCGATCCGCAAAATCTAATTAGTACATGAAGATTAGAAAAATACGAATATCCTCTCATACGATTTATTTTAATCTTATTTATTTTTTCTAATGTTTTTTTTTCACCTAAAATATTCTATCATGTTTAATAATCTCAACTTCCGTTTCGTTTGTTTTTTAGATGCTCGATTACAGATTTCTCAAATGTCGTTTCTAATAGATTGGTAGATAACAGTGTAGCGATGTAAACCCATTACTTAGAAGAGTTTATTTTTAGCTAATGTTTTTTTTTATAACAATAATTTCAAGCTTCATTCAATCCACACCCTAGTACTTAATTGATGATAAAACATTCTTTTTTGCAGATGATAATAATTATTAAAATTTTAATAATTTAATTGTTCTCCATCAATAACAAGAAGATGTCTTTTTCGAGTTAGCTGTTATCAGTAATAATTGATTTAGTTCACCACAAAATCCTGTTTGTTTCCAAATAATCTAGAGAGTATATACGATTAATGACATAATACGCTTGACTTCATAAAATGAGGTCAAATGAACAAAGTTTAATGAATGTTAATTGAAGCAAAAGTGTAAGTTGTTTAGTTCTTGTTAAAAATAATATTACATAAAAGAGAAAAATTTTTCTGATGTCACTTCACTTACATGAGGAGTTCATTTTATAACTATCTGATACTTCTATCTACGTTGATCATATAAGTCCGAAGGAGCAACATTCTTCTGGTCAATTAAAAATAAAAAATGAAATGTAATAGAAGCTGATGTGAAAAACGAGAATCACAAGATGGTTTAGACAAATCGCCAAAAGACAATGAGTAAACTCATTAAAAGTAAAATAATATCATTTGTTGGTATTAAAATCTGAAAGATTTATTTGAGGTTGTTCTTTTTTCTAAGTAACGGGTGCGGCAGAATAAATGGCGGTCTCAATATTTTGACTATAGCTTTTTTTCTTTGTGTTCTTTAGAGTTGATTGTTTTTCCAAAAGATGCGCCGTCAAATTCTCTACAAAATCGTAATCAAACTTATTCCTGAAGAAGGTTAAGGAAAAAAATTAAACAAAGATTATCGAATATATAAAATGTATCCAACTTTCCAACCTAACAGGTGTCCCATGAAAGACCGGAGCTTATAACTCTTTCTTTTCATCATCTAGTAAGTTGACTTTTTAAAAGAAAAGTATACTAGAAGATGCAGCGTGAAAAGCTCTACAAGTTACATTAAAAAACTTATGTACTCTATCTTTTCAAAGTGGACGAAACTTTGCCCGACTAATTTTCGATGCTGTGGAAAGATCATGTATTAGTCGCACGGAACTTTGCTTATTTTAAAAAACAAAAGGTATATATACATAAAATAAATTGTCGTTTGTAAATTGTGGAGCTTTTCATGCTGCATCCTGTGATATATTTTGTTTTCTTTTAATAAAACATATTAGATAATAAAAAGAGAAAATAAGAGAAAACGAATTCGTAGTGTGCCAAAAAATGATCCTGTTCGCAGCGTCCAAAATTGGTCTCATAGAATTTTGTCAATTCTGATTAAAAAGAGTGCATATATAAAATAAGATTTTTAATGTAACTTGTAGAGCTTTTCACGCTGCATCTTCTAGTATACTTTTCTTTTAAAAAGTCAACTTACTAGATGATGAAAAAAAAGAGTTATAAGCTTCGGTCTTTCATGGGACACCTGTCAGATTGGAAAGTTGGATACTTTTTATATATTCGATAATCTTCGTTTAATTTTTTCCCTTAATCTTCTTCAGGAATAAGTTTGATTGCGGTTTTGTAGAGAATTTGACGGCGCATCTTTTGGAAAAACAATCAGCTCTAAAGAACACAAAGAAAAAAAGCTGTAGTCAAAATATTGAGACCGCCATTTATTCTGCCGCATCCGTTAGTTCAAATGATTGGAAGAAAAATCTGTTAACATATATTGCTAGTTATTAAATTGTTGTACTCTGCTAAGATTCATGTATCAAAATGTATATTTGATTATTATGAATCTGAAAAGAATTACATAAATTAAAAATTTAATTATGCATGTTTTACATTAATTTCGAAGATATTTCACCAGGTAAGTATGTCAAAGAATTTTTATTCATTTACATTTATGTACCTTAAGGAAACATTCTTTTGATAGACGTTTCGATACACAATTACTTGAAACTTCTGCACATTGATTATTTTTTTTTTTTGTTCTGTAAAATAGAAAAAAATTGATTGGTGACGGAGGTTTATCAATAATAAGACTGTCGCTATGTGAATGGCGACGAACGAATGCTACTGATTATTATTACTTGATGAACTCTTGATAATTTTCTAGTAAACTATTGCTTATCTATACTGAAGTCTTCTATTTTATTGAAAAGGTCTAATGTTCACTTGATTTGCTACGATCTTTCAACTTTTAATGTAACAATATTTACGTAGGTGAACGATGAAAATTTTTTCTTTTTTTTTTCAGTAACTAGATTAGATTGAAAATCATAAGATTTTTGTGTTTTTAGAAAGCATAACTCTGTATTTTCAAATATGAAACAGCAATAAGCAGACGTTTATAATAAATAATAAATTATAGATATTTTATAAATAATAATAATCAATTAGTTTATATTACTAAATGCATTATTTTTAGAAATAAGCACATGTCAGTTTTGTCACCATTTCATAAAATCATTTAAGCTGAAAATAATTCATGTTACAACTTTACAATCAATTAAGTTTGTTTCACTCTTAGCAACGTATAAAACAAACAGTATTTTAAGCAAGATTGGATGTTGGTAAGTTACAACGCACGCAATGTTTTCTCTCCTTCACTACAGTAAATAGAAATATTTTATATGTTCTTCAACGCCTTTCTGTTGAAGAAACTATCGCTCTATTAGCTATGTAAAGACTGCTTTCTTGGCTACATACATGTCATGATGTTTGTGCGCAACACTCAAAGAGAATGACTAAAAAAAAAATTAAATTTATTTTATCTCAGAAAGTGTTTCATTTCAAGAAAGTGAACGACTACAATTGAGAGTCATTTTTCTTTCTTTACTGTCAAATACAAATTTTTAAAGTATAGAAGTATGGTTCAATTTTAAGATCTAATAGAGATGAAGTTAGGACGATAAAATATTAATGAAAATATATGACGAAAATAGGATAACAAAAAACTAGTTCGTAGATCGACATATGATACGAGAGATTTTTTCGAAATCAAAAAATTTATATGATTATTAATTGAATATTAATGTTATAGACGAACTAATTGGTAATTTCATCTACTAGAAAACGTGTCAAAATGCCGCGACAGTCTTTTTTATTAAATCTTAATGAATCCCGAGTATGTCGTCTGAACGGAATATTAGAATCAGACGTTATGCCAAACAAGCCACAATTATGTCAATCATTTTCGGATCATGTTCTCTATAGTAGTGATCAATTACCACCAAAAGTTGATTTTCGAGCGGCCATGACACTCGTCGAAGATCAATCGAGAATTGGCAGTTGGTAATTTTGAAACTTAAATATGTTTTCATAAACAAAAACATTTTCTTTTTGTTTTAAATAATTTTTTTTCAGTGTGGCAAACACTCTTGCTGGTGAGATGAATGAATTTTTAAAGAAGTTTTCATTTTATTTTTGTTATAGGAGCCTATGAATATTTAGTAAAGAAAGCAAATAGTTCTGAAATCGATGTAAGTCGTCTCTTCATATATTATAATGGTCGTGCATCCGATGATCCATCAGGTAATCTTACTGATTCGGGTTGCTCAATGACAAAAGCGATTGAAACATTAGAAGAATATGGAGTTTGTCTGGAATCGATGTGGCCTTATGATATTTCAATGGTCAATGCACGTCCTGATCAACAATGCTATCAAGCAGCTGATGATTATAAAATTACAGAAGCATTGAAAATTGAGATAGATTTATATCAAATGAAATCTTGCTTAGCACAAGGCTTTCCATTTGCTTTTGGTTTAAAATTATTTACATCATTTGATAAGGCATCTAAATCAGGTATTGTACCAATGCCAAATGACGATGAACAAAGTCGAGAATCACATGGCAGGTATGTTTTTGGGACATTATATATTAGCCTTTTAGTTAGGTATAGATAGTACAAATTATTGAGAGGTTTGTTTGCATGGAATCATTTAATTCATTTTTCAATTTGAGATTTTGTTTTTCTTTAGCAACTACAAAATAATTGATGTTAGATGATAATAATGTTTCTATCAGTTCTTACGACAAAACTTCTTACAGTCTTGCAAGCTTTTTCGACTAATAATATTATAGTCAGATAGAGGTATTACTAGCAGAGATGTCCACAGGGCGCTTTTTTCCGCCCTGCCCTGCCCTGTCCTGCAGGGCAGGGCATAGATAAAACTTCAATTGCCTTCAAGAAGTCAAAAATTTCTTTGTAAAAGATTTGGATTAAAAATCAATAATAATGGCACTATTGTAATCTGATTTTAATCAGATATTTCAGCTTTAACATACAATTTTTTTAAAATTTTGATTTCATTTTAATCTTTTTTTAGTCGATTATTATAGTGGTTGTAGTATTCAANGCATACATGCAAACATAATCTTGAACTGTACTTACTTTGAATACACCTATTATAGTGTAAGAATAAATTTCAAGTACAAGCCACGCAGCGCTCTTGATGCATACCAAAAATAAATAAATAAAATACTTATGAGAAGACAAAATTTAGGAAACCGACACGAAGATAAATCGAGATAGATTGAATCTGACCACCGGAGTCTGACTCAGTCCGAGCCCAACCAAACTCGACCTTGGCTGACTGAGCTCTATCTCTAGGCCGACCAAGCCTCAGAGAGTCAGACTTCGACCGAGCCCAACCGAGCCCGAGCCTGACCGAGCCCGAGCCCGACAGAGCCCGAGCCCAACCGAGCCCGAGCCTGACCGAGCCCGACAGATCCCGAGCCCGAGCCTGACCGAGCCCGAGCCCGACCGAGCCCGAGCCCAACCGAGCCCGAGCTACTCGGGCTCGGTACATGCCTAGTAATAGAATCAATGATTGACATTGAAGATAGAAGAGAGAGTAATGTACTGATCATATGATATTTACACTACAACTACGTGAGTTATAAATGTTCAGTTCACAATTCTATATTACGAGATCACATTTAGATTGTCGAATTCCACCACATGAGCCGTATAGAATACAGTGCCAACAACCAATACTGATTTGCACGTATAGCACTGTCGACAGAAAAATATCTCCCATATTTTCATCCTCTGCTGTACACTTCAGTTCAACAAACACCAACATCTGTGTAATAACCTGCAATAACTTGCAATACCAAGCCTCGTTTGTTCTTCTAGGTTGGATGAGCGCAATTATTGCCTTAGACTTTCGGGCATCCTTTGATTCTATTGGGCTCTAATGCTTTCATATTGATATCCGGCGACCTCTTCGAACGATATCAAAGGCATAGTTTCTCTTTTTTATGGACAATCTATCCCATTCCATATTGATAATAGAATTGTTGCATTACATTCATCACTGAATTTCTTGATTATTTTAATTTCAGCTTTGTATCCATTCAACTACGTTTAAAATAAAATGTATCCTAACCTGTACTGAGTATTGAAAAGGCAGCAGTTTCAGAAGTCCACAATATTTACCGATAGTCATGGCAGATGCATTCAGTGACATCAATTCTTGCCAATAAGCGTGATTTCTCGAAAAAGACCAGAACACATTCAATACTTAGATATGGGCGGAATACAGTATCTGACTTTATTCTTGAACTCCCACTCGCATCCGTACTCACAACCATAAGTTCTGTACTCGGATTTTCATCTTATTGCTTGATGATCAAGTATTACAAAGGTGTCTATGTGAGAAACACACGGACCTCAAACAACAGTTGGTTTTGCGATTATGTCTATTATATCTCAGGTCATTGATGTTGAATACTGAAGGGTTATGGCTCAATACAGTGACGACTTCAATCGGTGTCTGAGGAAAATTCTTTGAAAGAGATTGAAGTCAATGAGACTGCGAAAAAAGAATGATATTCTTAATCGGTTGCGCAGAACGACTCCGTCGACGACAATGATCTGATGTATGGGGTTGATGTGAATAGCGCATGTGTTAGGGAGAGAATGAATGTAGTTGAGAATGAGATCTGTCACTCAGGCGCATTCCACATCGACCACCGAAGGGAACGGCCGATGGAACTCTAGTTCTTCACCAGCAGAAAAATAATTTCCTTTACAAAGGGTTCACAGCCAAAAGAATCTTCTGTAGAAAATCTGTATTTCTTCTGTGATTAACACGGTACAACTTAGAGAATGTCTTTGTGCGCATCTGTGACCATCGAAAAGAGTAAGCCAGCTGTTGGATGGCACACAGAATGCTGCATTTTGTAAAACACGATTGCATATGAATGTTGAAGTAGTGATATAGCAAGAAAATTGAACTCTCTACTTATGCCTAGCTTCATAGGTACGTGTTCGTCACAAAAAAATGGGCCAGCTCCCTAGCGTCACAGAGACTGAAGAATATTTTGATAGGTAGTCTCTTCATTTATTTTGAATTTATAAGCTTGTTCGACAATGAACAATGCTGATGGTTGCTAATTTTAAGATGCTGAACGGAGCAACAAATGATGAATGGTTTGTTAGAAGATATGTAATAAGAATATTCATATGTGTTTTCAACTTCGTGTATACTATGATGTATAATTATATCAGGATCAATTAATTTGATCAATGGATACTGAAATATATGAAGACAAATTCTTCGTTCGACTTCTAAATGAAATGAATGATCATAGGTTGTGAATATGCAATTGCTCTGGATATTTGGTCGACGTTGCGTCACTATTCAATTGATGAAAATAGTACTATCACAATTTCTTATGGATTTTGACGCTCAATTGTAAGTTAGCATTGTATAGAAGTCGCTTCAATATCTTCTCCATCGAACCAACATACTAAATGAGCACACTTTGTTATCAAATCGGGTGGATGCTCGTGTCTCACGTTCTAAGGAACCTGCTTTTCTTCTGAGATTTGATTGAATCGATGGATTGAAAATTTTCTGAATAGTAACTCCATTCGACGTTGTCAGAATAGAGTCAGATAATATTTTTGCACTTATTTCGTGACTAACTTTAAGCACGAGTGCAATAGACGGTCATATACTTCAATTTTTATGCATATTGATTCCAAGCATCGTTATATGATTTAACAATAAAGCTCAGCATTGTTTCAGTAAATTCAGTAAACAGAACAGGATAACGTGTTGTCAATAATGATCCACTTCTTGTGACGATTTCCGATTGATAATAACAGCTTCCAGATGCAATTTTTGCTTGTTTTTGCCATGGAGACCATTGCATGGGGTTGCCAATAATTACACTAAAGCAACGCGGACAAGAATGAAAGTGAAGAGCAGCATCAGTCGAAAAATGATCAGGACTTCAAAATCTTAAAATCTTAATACTATCAGATGAAGTACAAACATTTATTAGCTAAACAATAGGAAAAGAAAAACTGTTCTTATTATTGAAAACGAGAATAATTTTCGTTCAATAGAACGAACTCCAAATTATGAAAATGACAGTCTCTGTAGTATTTCATAAGGGTGAATATTGGTGACTATTTCGACATCATCGAATAAGCAGATAGAATGATAGGGCGTAACGTCAACTGAAGTTCACCGCTTCACTGTCATCGCAGTGAAATTTTCCACATTCCCAGCTGCAATCCAATGCAGTTATGTTTCGATTGACCCAAAACAACACAGCTAGCGTTCCACTATAATGAAAGCGACAAACTTGAAAGAAATAAAAAATATGAACAGAACAAATAAAAGAGTCTTATTTCGGATTGTGTTCCATGGAGGTTCTTTCATGATTTATTACAATACTTCATATCACAGTTACAAAAGCCATCAATAACTTAGACTGTACGGTCTTCTTCTCACAGACAACATCTGACAGACTGCTATTTTTCTTTGCTGAAATATCTAGAAAAAGATAAGATTCGGTTCGATATTGTAAACTAATCATATTCATTTTAAAAATCATTTAGATATCCCAGATCTCCAGAAGGTAACTAGCGGTCACATGTGCACTGGAAATTGAATGGATATTCATTTTAATGATGAAGAAAGCACTTAGCAACAAAATTCACCGTTTTTTTCAGAGAATCGTCGCAAATTACAATGCAGCAACACCACCATAAGTGACTAAAACAAACACATCATTTTTGTTCTGACCAACAGCTAAGTGTACATGTGACAAATATGTATAATCGAGAAATGAAAATTGATCAATTTTGACTTCTGGATATGAACATTGACAGGATGCATGATTGAATCCTTTTGTTTCCTTTGCCAATTTTTCAATGTTGACACGATAACATGTAATAGGATTTCCTCGTGGTACTGAACGTTGGAGCGTTCTAATGCATGTGTATAAAAGCGAATTACGATCAAAAGAACTCAGTTTCTCGTCTGACAGCTGTTCAACAGCTAATCGATGTGTATCAAAATCGAATACCAGATGATTGTAGTTGACAATCAAACGTTCAATTTCGTCCATACTTGAACGAGCTCCTAATGAACAGCAACATATTCTATCAATGACATGATCGTCTGCTGATAAAATTCGTAAAAGACTTGTGCCCGACTTTTTCTCTATCTGCTTCAATAAATTTTCATAGTAACCCATCATATCATCTCTTGAACACTCTGTCATATCCATCCAAGCATGACTATCTTCTTCCATAGTCGAATATTGATCAACCAGCTTTTTCTCTCGATCGTACAAAGCATGAGTTCTCTGATGAGTCAAGATGACGGATTTATCTAACTCATCTCTTGCATAACAGTCAATTCTTTCAGAATTTAACGAATCAGTGATGCGCATTTCGAAATGAAATCGCGATAAAAGATCTTGTCCAATAAATTGAGCTTGATGACGATTTGTCATATAGGTACGATCAACACTATAATCTAAGTCAATGTTTGGCTGTCGTTTTGACTCGTCCTTTTGTACCACTCGATAGAGAGAACCATAACAATTGCGATTGTAAAATGCATCTGCCAATATTCTCTCTCTCTTGACTTCACATATTTCTTGTGTATTTCTGTCATATCGAACGGTGTACGTGGTTGAATCGTCCCGATGTCCCAATAGAAAGAAAGCATAGACGGCGGCTACTCGACAACAACCTTCGATATGTTGATAGAAAAATTCGCTATCAGAAAATCGGAATAGAGTTCGACTACCATACTTAGTGTGAATAGTTGGAATGAATTTTTGAAGACAGCTATCGGTTTCGAAAATTTTCATCTCTTGAGCATCCCAAGCGATTTTTAATAATTGAAATTGTGGAAAGGCAAATATTAAATGTTGCACATCTTGTTGATGCAAATATTTGAAAATATAAAGCCACATCTCAGGAGGCAGTTGGTCAATCAATAGCTTTTCGTCGTCTTGATGGATAGTCTGTGCTTTTAATTTGAGTTCGAGTAATCGTGGATAACTATATCGAATCGATAATGAACGTTCATATAACTCACCGATGTCACTTGTTTTTACGAATTCACCACAGTTTCTATATATGTTCAATTCATTTTGTTGAGCTTCACGAAAAAAATTCAGGCAAGCAAGATAATCTTCTTCTTCCTCTGGACAAATAGCAAATCCGAGTGGCTTTCCTTTTCGCTGCACGAGTACATCAGTTCTCAAGACGACACGTTCCGTCACATTGAGAGAATTCCCCATCTGTGGTGCTATGGCCTCGTGTAAGAGATTATGTGTAAAAAGAATGGCGTAACCTTTCTTTGGTTTAATCGTCACACATTCATATCCATTTTCCAATCCCCCATAAGCTTGAATTTCTTCCTCAATTGTTAATCCTTTCGTATTGGGTTTTTTGTTCTGTTTTGGAAAATAAAATTTTGTCTCACCTTTATCATAATTGTCATTCAAATAAATCACTAAACTCAATAATGATCGTTCATCTCCGTTCGGAGCATACTGTGCATCTTTATGAGGTCCAAAATGTTCATCTTGATGGTATTTATTCAATCGCATGGCTTTATTCACACCACTTATCTCCCAATCACCTTGCACATTGAATCCCAATGGTTTCTTATTAGAAACTAATTTAGTTATTTTGTTACTAAATTTTAGACGTCGCCAAAGTGTTCGAGCGAATCGATCATCTATAACTACTAATCGCAAATTATTACGTTTTTGAACATCATACTTATCTAACATATTTTCAAATTTTTCTTGACTAATATTGGCCAGGATTTCATCGCATTCCTGGTTGCTCAATAAAGTACCCAATTCAATTAAAATTAAATCGTCTTGTTGTTTCACATGGTTCAATACAACGCCATCGGTTAGTTTTGTTGGTACGGAATAATCACTTAAAAGCGATGTAACAGTATTCCAATCTGTAGTTCCCAGAAACCGATTTCTATACATTTTGAAAATAATACTCAATCGGACTTCGTTGTTGTTTGTTTGGGGTTTCTTTTTTTCAACTATTCTGTACAACTTTTAATTTTACATTCTGCTGTTGTATGCAGAATTCTTCTGTAATTACTCAAGATCGATGCAATGTAGCTGTAATTGCTCAACATCTATGTCAGTCAATAGCTTATTTGTCTGACACAAAATGTGCCGCATGGCGGAAAAATGTAGAAAAGAAAAAAAATGAACAGAAAAGAATGAAAAAAATAATCTAGGAAGAAAAATGTTTAGAGAATAAAAATTATTAACATGAGTATTTTGACCAATAATAAAAACATTTGTTGTATTACAGAAATTCGAGAACACGATCATTCATACTGTAATTGACATTACAAATAAATTAACAAAATGTCCAAGCAACAAATAATAAATAGTCAATCATTTTTTTTCTGGTTCAATTACATGATAATGATCACCTTTAGTTTTTAAAACAGCATCATTTATATTCGTATGTACGGTGACATCATATTCATGATGCTCACATTGATAGTATTTTGTTGTAATGGCCGTTTAATTCAACTTAAGTATGTAATTATGAATGACAAGCATTGGTTTTTCTTTTTGTGATTGAATCATAGACATCGTGTTTGAAGAATAAGTCATGTTATCTGCAGATACGTATAAAATGAAAATAACTATTCTAATGTTACCTTAATCAGCAGAAAAAAAAATATAAAATAAAATATATTATAGTCGTTCGTTAATTAAATAATTTCACATACTTCATTTCGTATTTTGATAATGGACTTTCATTTAAAAACAAATGAAAGAAACAGTAATGTAGAGGTATCAATGGAAAGAAAATTAGTTAATAATAGGATGTGATTCATTCTACTGAATATGCATATAGATATTGTACTCATAAAGTTGGATATCAACACAAGCATGAACTACCGACGTGAAGGATGTTTAAAATAATAGAGCCTGTTCACTTCTTACCGTCATAATTTTCGATAGTTATCTTTTCGGCATTCTTCTATCCATTCAAACGTGCTACTATACGTTTTTTAGACGAGCATGTTCAGAATTACGAATGGTATATTTACGATTCTCATGCTCACTGATTTTCACAATCGTTTGGGACATATGTTGCAAAGCTCGAGCTCAACATTAAATATGTTTTAAGATCACTTTTTCATTGAAATAATGAATATACCTGTGAAAGTAGAGCGTGAAAGTTGCTATTTACTTAAAAAAAAATGTGTCTTGTCTTTAAGTCCCCCCCCTCAAAAAATGTCAAATTTCGTCAAAAAAACGAAGTTGGAGATAAACTCATAGCTGAATACTATGCGGCCTGAACATTAAGAATCTGCATGATCTTGAGGTTTGGTCCTTCGAAAAAATGAACTTTCGCAAAAAAGTGTACTGTCGTCACAACATACCTGTTGTTTCAAAAATTGAATTTTTTTTTTTTAAAAGAGGATTTTGTAGGAAAAAGTCTTGAGGGTGTGGGGATGGGTGTGCGTGTGCGTGTGGGTGTGGATATTTTCTTCGCGCACACCCACACCCACACCCGCACCTGCTATTTCACAAACTTGTTTCACGTTTTTCTCGGAACATGGGTTCGACGGAGTATCTCCAACGCCATTCTATCGCGGTACTATATGAAGTCAAACATTTTTTTTTGTTTGAAAGCTCGTGTTTGGGGCTAGCCTACCTCGTGGCCCTTTTCTAAAAATAAGTCCTGTTATTATTATATAAGAAGCCATCTCTATAGAAAAAGCCCTATTTTTTAGGGGTTTTTTGAGTCATTGAACTTGTCATCCCTTTCCTTCGCTTAAAAAGTATGAATTTAGAAAAAAGGGCCACGAGGTAGGCTAACCCTAGAGACAAGGTTTCACACAAAAACAAATTATATATATATATATAATGAGGGTCCACAGAGAATTCTTGGAGATGAGATGAGCTATTTTTTGACGCTTGTTTGATTCATATCTCTGCCAAACGTCAGGGTATCGAGCTGAAAATTTCACCACAGCCTCCTCACGTCGGCCCCAACATATGCTCCAAATTTCAGCCCATTTGAACGTACCTGGGCTGAGATCGATTTTTGAGGAGGAGGGGGGGGGGCTTAATCAAGTCATGTAACTATGTTTAAGAGAGATATCGAGATACGATCTTCGGTGAAAAGTTCTTGTTGAAGTTAAGATCAACATCCTACGTAACAGATGCTAAATTGAATCTTCAGTACAACTTTTACAACTTTTTAAGATTAAAAAGCACAGCAAGTCAATCGATACTCAATCCAATGCTGGAACTGTTACGTTCACTAAGCCCAACAAATATGATTCTTTATGTGAAGTATTCTGAGACAGAAACTAGAGATACTCAAGTCTATCATCGTTAGAAAACTCTGTATATACAGGCGATCTCGGATAATATTTCAAGAGGTTGTCGTTATCTATATGATTTTAAAAAAGTGATATCCAATGTATAAGTATTCCATGCAGCAGATTATCATAGAGGCAGTACTGTGGATTCTAGCCCATCGTGTGACTAATAAACATGTTGTCGAAATCTTCAACAATTTAATAATGCTATGAATTATAGAGCGAAGTGTTCCTTCACCAATCTTGTCATCAATGTATGACGATGTTTGCGTCGATCACTTTCTACATATTGTTTTCAAAAAAGACTTTGTACTAGGAAAAGTGTTCTAAAATCATTTAAAGTCGTTGCTAGCGTACGATGTTATTTGAGTTCTCATGAGACCATAAAGACACTGAGCGGTATAAAGCAAATCCTAGTACATAGATCATTGCACTTTTTAACTAATTGAATAATTGCTATTATGCTACCGCTTGTTTTTGTGTATCTCATTACAATTTTTTTTTCGAATTCAATAAGATTCATTTTCAAGACTGGTCGGTATATCCACCTCTTTAATCAAGACCATCTTCACTTTATTCAAGCAAAAATGATGACACTTTTTCATTATCTGAATTGTATTCCCAAGCTATAGATATGAGCTAATTTCGCTGTGAAAATCAGATGATTAAAAGAGTTTCACCCTACTCGACTCTTTTGATCTGTTGCCATTTTTGTATCATATGCTATGCTCGAGATAGTCTCGACTGAGTGTGGATGGGTACCCGCCTTCAAAACATTCATATCACACAAAAACGTTCGTGCGAAAATGTTGTTTCATGCAATGCCAATATCAGAGAAAAGTGTAAATGTCTATGCTGTGGAATATTCTGTCTGTTCAAAAATGAATGCTGAAAACACAATTGTGCAGAATCAGAAGCAAATTTATTCATACATATGTTGATGTATCTTCCATATGTTTTGAGCACATGATGAAAAACTGAGGTGAACTTGAACCAATCTCGAACTTTAAAGGTGCTTCAAATGAGTGGATGCGACGAATGTTCAATTACTACTCACGTCAGCCATAAGATAGGTGCATAATTATCTTTTTTTTATTCATGAAACAGTGAAAATAAAGAGCTTATACCTGATGACATCATGTTAGCCAGTTCTCCCAGAGAAGATCGAAGTTCAATTTCTACTGAGCGCGGAGGGATAAACTGAACATTGCTTACAGTAAAACATACTCCAGGTAACAATAGTACTTCCTCTTCTTCGGGAATCACAGAAAAATCTCTTATATTTAAGGCATATAATGCGCTATACGACTCTATTACGTATGTGAACATCGCAGATAGCTTTTCCGCTGGTGGATCACGAACACTGTCTATAAAACTTTGAGCAACAGTACGAAGTTTCGATGTGGATGTAATTGCTTTGTTGCATACGAATTTTGTGTCCTCCAGGTAACATTTTAATTGATCGAGTGAAATCCACACACCTCGATATGTCGATCCCTGGAATCGAATGCTTGAATTTGGTGTCGAAAGAAGCATATAGAGTGGTCGCAAGAATAGTTTGGCCCAATTTGATTCGTTACTATTTTGAATCGGCAATGGTTGCCCTCCTTGAAATGCTTGAGCACGAGAGACTAGTTGACCCACCTGTTGAAAAACGGTTCCCATAAGGAATTGTAGTTGTTCCTCGGCTTCCAGACCATCTGTAGTTTTTAGATCTTGCTGAGCCAATTTGCAATTCAATATCTTGTAGAAGTCACTTTCAACAGTGTAGGCTCGAATGAAATACGAAGCGTCACCAGTTTTTGCTGCCTCTTCAAGCAGCCACCAAACATCTGAGCTTAATGTTTGAAGGTCCTGTTCTTTTTTCATAGCATCAATAGCTTCCTTAATAGCCATTGGACCAAGAGACAAAAATTCTTGTTGAATCATCATGCAGTACTGTTGAGCGTTCAAATCTTTCAGTATCCACTGTATTTCTTCGCTATTCAGATTGGCACTAAGACGAGGATTGGGAAAGGCGCTTAGCTGATCATTCAATGTTACTAATTTTGTTTTTGGTTGAACTAGAGATGTTATTGAATGTTTCTCTGGATCTTGGTTCTTAGGTAAAGTCGTATCATTTAATGTTGAATAATCATTGCCAATCTTTTCACTGTCGATCGTTGTATTTACGCTTGCATCAGCCTTTTGAGTCTCATCGGTTTGAGTCGATACTTCGATCAATTGCTTAACTTCACGTAGTTCGCTTGACTGTCCAGAGACAATAGGTGATTTGAACGACGCAGGGCTTACTGTGAGTGGCATTGTAGCTTTTGGCTGCATAATGGTCGAAGGTTGCACACTGGCAGAACAGCCCATATTTTATTTATCAAATTGATACACCAGTAGTAATAGTTAGGAGTAATATTAGTAATTATATGTTAAGGTCTACCGTAGTAGTTTGTCACCTAAGTTGTTAACTGAACGTCGTCTGACAGTCGACGAATACTTAAATAAAACAAAAAAGTCTCAAATGTAATTTAAAATATTGAAAGGTATTCATAATGAAAAAAGAAGATAATGTCGAAACTGACAAAATATATCATACAGTACCATATTTGACCTGACTTAGCAATCAACTGTTGTTATGGAGGATTTGTGAATATGCATGTGGGTTAGCGGGTGTCAATGGGATATTCACATGTACGCCCGCACGTTTCGACATAAGAAAAAAAGTACGAATTGATAGAGATTCTTCTTCTTAAGTAAACATCTTATAATCAAATCTAACCTAGGCAAATAATCTTAATTTACTGGCTCATTTTTGTAGAATCCTTATATGATAAGCAATTTCTACACACTGATAATCAATGGAAAACGAGCAAGGTAAATATTGAAGGTCTTCACGAAATCCATTCATAAGAGAAGAGTGAGTGAATGAGATCTTTTTCTTTTTTGAAATCCTGTATGTATTCTTTGAATCCTAGTAAAAATACTCTGGGGTTAATATCCATACATCTCGACAAGAGAAATCATGATAGCAGTACTTTTCCTATCACTATATACGGCATCGTCATCTATTTTGCGATGTTAAGGAAGAAGAAGCGTTAGTCTCCACGTAAGTAACATTCATTAGGTTGCACTGATGCAGTCTTGTATGATTGATGAAAAATTATTTTGCTTCGAATACATAAAACAGAGGTACGACAATAGTTGCCATTTTATTTTGTTTTACTTTTCTTCTGTGAAGAAAGAAAAGAGAATTCACTTCTACTATTCTTTAATGGCAGTGATAAGCAATGTTAATGATTTATGATCCTCAGTATATCACCAGCTTTATTCGACTTTTACTTTAGTTGCAAAAAAATAAGCTCACAGAAAAGTAAATTTTTGATTGGACGAAGCATCATCGCACGTGTCAAGCTGTTACACAAAACAGTTCCATAGAATCCATCAATTAGTTTTCGAACGACAAAATGTAAAATTTTATTGATATATTTTGCAATCGTTCATTGTCCATTGGAAGCTAGGATTTGTTCCAGACTTTACCTTCGAAGTAAAAGCAAGTTTATTTTCTTTGGACATAAACGAGCAATGACTTTAATTTTCGTTTTCAATAACAGTAAAAATACTTTTGTTTTTTTTTTTTATGGGAAATTAAAATAACAGAGATGTCTCTAAGTGTGACTATCCAAGCTTTCATGAAAATTGAAACAGGGAAGCAAATTTCGATCGGTGAAAAAACGCTTGTTTGATCCTTCTTGCCATCATTTGAAATTCCTTTTTCTAAATTCCTGTGTTCAGAGAAACGACATGTTGCTGTCTTTTCTTCTTTCATGGTATTTTTCTATGTTGGACGGAAATTCTATCTCTAAAACACCTACTCTATTGTCTCCTAAATCTGGAATGAGTTTGCATAAAAAATTACCTTTTGTTATATAAAAAGTTTTCGATTGTGCAAAATTCGTTTGATCTTGTTTCTTCTCTTCACTGAATTCTATGGCATACCACGAAAGCAAAAGTAAAAGCCAATGAAAAAAAAGTGAGTTTCTTTAAATGAATTGCCGAGAAAAATCAGCAGAGTAGGTGCATTTTTTTTTTGCAGCTTTCTTTTCATCTTTATCGAACCAACAATCATCGTCTCCAACTGTACATACGTGTACATACGTCGGCAAAGTTGGCCGATGATGACAATTACAGTCTTGCGTTCTTTTGTTTGTTCTTCGTGAGAGCAGGTTGTATGTTGGCTTGTGTATGTTGTTCAATACTGATGTAGTTGTATATGTATGCATTGGTAGTTGAGAACTATAAAATAAAAACCTAATTAACTTCTATCGCCAACAGTTGACCGCGTACGAGAATCAACGTTGTCAATATGTTTTTGTAGAGAATGATTAACTCCATCACAAGTGTCACAGATATTTCTGCAAGATCCGAAAGAAAGAGGAATCGAATCTAGGAAAACAGTCTTTACAGTGCTTGCATATCACTTGTTAGATCGAGTCTTGAATTCGATAATGATCAGATGCAGATGAAATTCCTATATGAGCATCATCGCCAATTTAAGCAATTCGCATATGAGCTGTTAAGGTTCTGTCACTTGCTGAATAAATGAGAACGGAAATGTTTATCGAAGACTGAAGGAAGAAAGTAAAAAAGTAAACTGATTTTAGTTAAAACTCTGTAAATACAACTAACACAAACATATTTATGGCATGTACATAGAAAGTTATACTGCTGACGGTTCTTACTCGGTTATTGTTGATGATTATCTCCTTGTTTTCTCACATCAATGATCTCAATTTCTATTTTACCAAATATGATAAATGAAAAATGAACGTATTCACTAGAACCCCTATTATCCAGTGCCAGACAAGAAAAAAGCACATTGATCGTGCTTCTCTAACAACAAAAATTTCATCATGAACGTAGAAACTTTTGGCTTGTTCATCAGTTGAACTCAGCAATAGAATGAGATCAGTCTCATTGATGATTACACATAGATTTCAGTTTGAGAAAATACAATAGCCAGACATTATTGTAGGATGGAGAATAAGCATAAATGATTAGAAGTGTTCGAACTATGAACAATTGTTGATCTTCTTGATCCGATTATACGACAACCCATATTGCACAGCAAGATTTGAGATCGATTTGTTCGTCTTACAGTCTGCATTTCGGATGTGAGTGTAGGTACTGTTCTTTGCTTTTTCTAAACTCACATGATCACTTAAATATATTTACAAAGACATTTGTAAATATATACTCTAAGACATAAATAATCTATCTGTAGCCGAAAGCATATTTTGAACTTGATTAACTTTTCATTCAGCCAAATCAAATTTTTGTAGTCAGGTATTGATGTTGAATATTAACTTGAAGTCATATTTTTGATTTCTATGAACATGAAATTTATGGTAACGAATTATGGGTCAGAACTAGAGATCTGCAAAATGGTCACGGTCACGTCTGACCGTGACGTGATCAGGTAGGCCGTGGCCGTGACGTGATCATGTAGGCCATGACCGTGACGCGATCAGGCAGGCCGTGACCGTGACGTGATCAGGTAGATCGTGACTAAAAAACCTGGTCACGCAGACCTCTTATCAGAACGAATTGATATGTACATCATCTACTCATTTTTTTATATGAGCTAAATATTTTCGTTGATGTTTCAATTTATTGAAGTGATAAGTTTAATGACGCAAAAATACAAAATCTTTCAGAAAATATAAAAAGTATTTTGACCTAGCATCATTCACTATGGTTAGAGACAAAATAGTCAAAAATTCCAATAATAACCAATTACTTTTTTACTTGTGTATTACTGGTAGCTATTAGTAAAAGGTATTCAACAAGTGAATGCGAACAAAAGTGAAAAATACAAAAGATATCCTAAAAAACTGTTTTTTAATCATGCCTCAAGAATAGTGTCACTGGATACTATAGTATTTTTTACGGTTGAGTCAGAAAGAGCTCATATTTTGGATTTAAAACTTTCAATTGATGGGTTGTCGTTTGAGATAATTAAATCGAAAAACAAAGACAATTGTAGCGTTGACCGGTTTTATACAAACTTGCTAAATGTTCTGAGAAATCCCCCTTCTTAGCTCTACAAGATAATTTCCTGTATAAACCGCATTTGAAATTGTAGGCTTAAAATAAAAGCAATCTTCCAAGCAATCAAGTAAAAGTATTCGGAAGTAAATAGCATTAATAGCAAAAGTAAAATGAACGTGGGTTTTAAGTTACGAAAAAAAGACTGATGTGTAATGTCTAATGATCACGATATCATTAGAGTGTGAGAGATAATTTATTTTAAATAGAGAGCAGTATGATGTTAACAACTTGCCTCACATATTAAGAACAATATCGGGAGTTTTCTCTTAGCGATGGGTTCTGTAAGAATTTTGTGTTGAGAATAAACTATTATAAAATTCTTTTTGTTTTTATCAAATCCAATAAAACATCAACAAATAGATAGTTGTTGCATGTAGCATATATGTCAAACTTGAAACTTGAATTCAATTGAAATTTCAACTTTCAACTGAAATTTCAAATTTCAAGTTTCAAGTTTCAACTTTCAAGTTTCAAGTTTCAACTTTCAAGTTTCAAGTTTCAAGTTTCAACTTTCAAGCCTCAAATGAGCAGCACTTTGCAGAATCACCACTAACCCGCATTCTCACACACACATCATCGCAGCTGGTGCGGGTGCGGCGAAAGGACTGGTCAGAAAAGGACTGGCCACGAAACGACACACATCACATCGTACCTGGTGAGGGTGCTGCGAAAGGACTGGCCAGAAAAGGACTGGCCACGAAACGACACACATCACATCGCACCTGGTGAGGGTGCTGCGAAAGGACTGGCCAGAAAAGGACTGATCACGAGACGACCTATATCACATCGCAGCTGGTGAGGGTGCCTGGAAAGGACTGCCTAGAAAAGGAGCCGTCGCGAAACGACTTGAAAGTTGAAAGTTGAAACTTGAAACTTGAAAGTTGAAACTTGAAACTTGAAACTTGAAAGTTGAAACTTGAAACTTGAAACTTGAAATTTGAAGTTTCAGTTGAAAGTTGAAATTTCAATTGAATTCAAGTTTCAAGTTCGACACTACTGGCATGTAGCAATGATCACAAAGCTGAGTTTCATTTAAATAAAACAAATTATTAAATAGCGTGATGCCAAAGCATTTAATCATCGATCAAAAGGTTATGTTGAAAACTTTTGGGTTCAAGTAAAATGAATTGATTTCACGTTAAATAACATTGTATTCAATAATCTATATATCATAAACAAATCTACTTACTGTAAGAGATTATTGATAAACAATTTCTACATTTGAAAACCTCGCGAAAAACAAAATCGTGAGTTTCGTACTAATCAATAAAATACGTGTTTGATATTATATCTTACGTACAACTATGAAAGCGTATATTCAAGAATAAAAAACTTCTTGTTAAATACATTATTTACATGCTATATTTTATATACGTTCCTTTAAAATCGATGTTCTACAATGGTTGATAAGTTTTCAGTTGTTTCTGTACTATGTTATACTTTTCGACTGTTAATCTCAATTCTTCTAAGCTTTGTTTGAGTTCGGCATCTTTATAATCATATGTAACAATATTCAATCCAGGAAAATTAAATAATAATAATTCTTTCAAATTTACTAATAGATCAGCAACTGGTGAATAAGTACCAGATTTATTATCAAATACTAATTCCCACTCATCATTTAATCGGTTCCATCCATATTTTGGACGAGGATGAAATTCACCTGCATAGCAAACATATTCAGAAGAATTAGCTAATAAAGCATGTTTACTAGCAAAATCTGTAAAAAATTGATTTCCTGTTTCACTAAATCTCCATGTATTATCATCAATAATATATGTATAAATACATGGTCTAATTTGTTGTGTTGCTTTATCAAAAAACAAGAACTTCCAAAGATCATCACCATTTTTCAATCGACCATTATCATTATTTTTTAATGTTTTCCTATAGAGTGTTCTATGCAATAATTTGATTCCACCTTGTATTACTATTGAAAGCGGATAATTATCAAAAATCGTTCTTGCAGATTGATATTGTGTATTCCAATATTGTCGTTCATGAGGTGGAAAAAAATATGAAATTCTTCTCATTTGTATTTTCCATGTTGGATAAATAGAATCAGCATTGATCATAGTTAAACGACCAATTGCAAGAGAATTATGGCGAAAATATCGACATGGACCATCGTATGTGTATACCGAAAGTTGTTTAGTCTCTTCGGATGTCTTTGTCGTTTGAATAGATAAATGAAAACGACCATTATATTGATTAAATACTCCAATGATCTTATGACCTTTTGAAGGAGGATCATAATTAATAAGATCAGGAATTATAAATCGACCAATGTAATCATCAGCAAGTTTTCCATCATCTTTATCATAGATTTTAACGGTAAGTTTAGCTGTAGGTGGAATATTTCGAACAATCCATTCTTCGTCATTCCATATAGGTTTTGATGTATTTGGAAGAATCGTTGATCTATAGTTTGTATTTAACATAGATCATATATTTAACTTACAAAAAGACAAAGGGAAAAAATCTTCTGATAAAATCGTTGTATGAAAAGATTTCTTTTTTTTATCGTTCAGTAGATAAGAAATATGAGCATACTCGATAGATATTTTTATCTGTTTTAAATTTGTATTTATCATAAAAACAGGCTATGATACATATTTACTATCTAGCTTGAGAACCAAAGTTGTTAAATACTCACGTAAATGAAACTTGATGATCTATACTTGCTACAAAATATGGATCACAGTGTCCGATTATATCTGTTTTTGGTAAATTCTAAAAAAAAAAGAAATGAATAATTTAATGTACATATATTTAAAAAGATCATTCAGAAATGAACCTCTGCTGAATAAAATTTAATAAGAACATCATGGTTACCAGAAAGATTACGGTCAGACAAATTTCTTTTCTGAAGACTTGTGCTTTTAAAACCAGCAACTGTTGAACATGAAGTCATTACTGAATATTCACAGTATGAAAAGGAAACTATTTCATTGACAGCGGTGACTATACAACATATATTTATATGCGTCTTTTTTTTTATCACGGTTTTGATAAGTTTGTATTTATTTTTAGTAATCGTTCTATTACTTTATCGTATCAATATTTTTTAAGTGTTTGATGGTGAGTGTCACTGAGGTAAAATTATACATTCAATATCAGGTTTTCATCATCACTTCTATGCTTGCCTCCTTTTGCACACATTTTACTCATCCTTATTTTTTCACAGCTCGTCTGAGTATTGCCGATTGCATCATGATCGACGGTTGGTTATACGGTGATGTAAGAATGAAAAAAAAAACGATTTCAGCGAGTTGATTGAGAGCGTTATTTAAACATGTGTTTTATATTATTAGTATAACAATGTAGCTTTTATCATGCTCGTGCATTAGTATTGATCACAAAATATTAAACAAATTATCAACCATGTTAATATTTATCACTTTCAAAATGATTGAAGCTAGTTCAGTTTTATGTGAGAATGAATCAACATGAATCATACTCAACACGACATACAATTATGGGTCATATATTCTTTTATATAAGATGATCGTTATAGCGCTCCGGTTAAAATTTTCCGACTTAACTATTTATTTAAAATCAATAATAAGTAATGCTGTGATAGTATTGTTATCTGAATGAAATTTATACAATCATCTATCTATAGATATCTTCAATTTCGACCACTTAAATATTTATGTGAAAATATAGTAATGCTTTTTAGATCAGTTTCTATAAATTGATAGACAACCAATGCATACATTGGACACATAGATAACTAAAGGGAACATAATTTTTAGTCAGCAAAAAAGCAAAATCGATCAACAGGAGAAATATATTTTATTCGTATAAAGATTAGTTTAGTATAAGAGAAATAAATTTTAATAAATACAAGAAACACAGAATAGATAAGAAAAAACTCAAAGAATGAATGAAAAACAAATGAAAATTCAATTATTGCACTACGTAGCAAGCAGTTTTTGTCTTTGCTGATAGTTTGAAATATTTCAAACAAATAGCCATACCAACAACGTGTTTGCATGTATAATTCTTAAAAAACCTAGACAATGGCGTATTGATTTTTTCTAATCTTTATTATTCTCAATTTCCGTATACCAAATATCAAATTATTTTTTCAATTGATTAAAAGTTATCTACTATTTTTTTTAATATTTATTTACATCGGCTTCTGTAATCGATTGTAAATCATGAGTGGGTATATATAATATGATTTTGAAGAACCATTCGAACTCCAAATTACCGTTTTTCTTGATTTAACCCATTAATACGATAAAATCCATAATTGTAATGATATTGTTGATTCTTTAGAAAATATTATAATATAAAACATGATGTTCTCTAAATATTTCATCATCTTTGATTGTTTTATTGGTTAATCATTCATTATCAAAATAATTAAAAAAATCTAATATTGATTGTTTTGTTTCTACTTGTTGTTCATCCTCCATTTCGTCATAAATAATGTTGATATCTAATTTGAATGCACTTGTAAAATTCGATAAATGAAGTATTTCAATATCTTCTATATATTTTTGCAATATTTATATCATCTATTTAAATCACACTATAATACATGGCGAATTTTATATTAACTATTTAATTTAATTTATTGATTTTTAAATATATAAACAAACCTAATTATTTTAATAACTGACCATTCATTTATTTTACTGACCACTTAAATGATAACGATAATTAAATATTGATGACTATTCTAGACGTGAACAACGTAAATATTAAAACTAAGAAAAGCCTAGGAGTCGTTGCATGATAGGGATGACCAATCCTATTCACTTGATGTCACTGACTACAGTAAATTTTTGCCTATATGTAGCTACCAGTGAGATGTGAAAATGCTAAAATTGTCAGCGTTTAAAACAGTTCCCTTGTTGAGTTATTTAAAATAGGGTGTCAGTAAGGCTCTTCTCTTCATCGATCCAAACATCTACATCCAGAGCCACAATTTCTTCCATATATATATATATCACAGTTTGAGAAATACATACGAACATCTTGCTCTCATTAATTAGAAGTTTAGAGAATTTGATATTTCACTTGAAGTTCTGCAGAATGTGCTCAAAATACTACTAAAATCACTACTATCCACATATTGGTTTTACTTATAAGAACATGGAAAGCATTCGTTTTTCGTTTAGTATTTTTGTGCTGTATATGATAAGAAAAAATTGAACGATAATAATCGCTAGATGAAAAATTTGAGGTTATTGAATTGATCTGTCCGAAAAAAAAAGAATTAAATATCGCTATTTTAAGCTCGAGAAAAGGAGATTGAGTGAACTTCTTTTTTGAACTCACTACAAGCTCGATATTTGATTTAAGCATATAACTTTGACACCATTCCAACGAGAAATAACAAAAGAAGCTTTACTATAGGAATCAACCATGTACATATAATAAAAATAGGTATCAGACCATCTTCATTCAAATAAAAATGTAATGAAAAACAAAGAAAAAAAATCACGTAATATTTCTTTTCAATCAAGTCATATTGCATATCAAAACCAAAAATAGATTTGAAATGTTTGTCCAATAGATTACTACTTGGTTGGTTCACTTTTTGTCAATTCACTCAAGTGCAATCACTTTCATTACTCTGACTTTCTTGAAATGAGACGATGATTGATGAACTCTGTTATCTCTCTAATCTTCTTACTCATCTCGACTTGATCGAATATTAATTTGTCGATTACCACTACAAAATATATAAAAAGCTAATTAGTAGCGTTTGAAGTCTATCGAAACGTATCCGTTGCCAACTGAGAGTTTTTTTTCATAAATAGATCGATCATTTCTTGTATTAGTCACGGTTTCATAATCTTTCGAATATCACTCTGTGAAAAGTTGCAATTTTGATTTGAGTGAATTCGATAATCTATTTCAATATACACCTCATCTTCGATATCTTTCAGCACACTTTGTTACAGATTTACTTGATTAGCAATTATCATTTTCTGTACCATAGCTCATCACTTTGAAAATTGTTCACACACATTTTCAGGACCCATTATTGAATTTTTTGCGACATACATCCAATCTATGTCATTTGACAGTTGAGACATCGCTGGCAGAATTATATAGGAATGGATCATTAATGATCATTTACCTAACCTAAAAGTCTTTGAACTGAAAATGCAAATAAAACTATGATGTTGACAATGAAGAACAAAAGTCGATCAATTTCTTTCGAAGTTCTTTCTGACTGGATAAACATCAATGGTTTGTTCGATACTATTACAGTGTCGCGTCCCAATCGAATGTCTTTTGCTTTTTATACATTACCTTATGTATTTGCCAATTTCAATACAATCGTAAACAACATGCTGGCCAAATGGATATATTCTTATGAGAACGATCATTGGTCTGGCGATTAAGTGCATAATTTCAATTAGGAGTCTCTGAGAAATGAAGAATAGGCAATGATTCATACACAGTTTCTTAACATTCGTCATGTTTTCCTCGAACTTCCAACAACTGATTTTTTTTGGTTCATCATTCCTAATTTGGATCAGTTAATCTCACTTTAAGTCTCACTTTATGATGATGTTGACAGTTCTATTCAATCTCAGCTACAAATCTGTCATAATCGAGCATTTCGTTTGTATTCATTGAAATTTTGCTCGTGGTTACATTTGTTAGTATTTCTCGTCAAAAGTAGGGATTGTTCAGTGATTCGACTTGATCTGGAATATCAAAAGCTATGGTTTCATCATGAGGAGTGTATTCAATTGTGTTGTTCACAATTAGAACTTCTATGTGAAGTTTCACATTTTTATGTTTTCAATGAAATCTCAGGTTAGTCGCAGTTGATCGGTAAAACTAATCCGATATTTGCAACATGGGTATATGCTCTAATACTAAATGCAATTTCACTGAACCAATAACTTTTAATTTTAATATCAATGATACGTGCAGTTTTAAACTTAAGCATTTCACATTTTTAGCATGCTTCTTTTCTATCTATACCTAAGTGTTTTATATAGGTGGGAAAGGAAGAAAGCGGTCTCCATCAACCTGCTAACAAACTATAGAAAAAAACTTTCTTTCTGTAATAGTCATGATCTTGTCCAACGATTTTTATTCATTATCCAATATTACAGACGAACGGCATGCGTCGCAGATTTTTTCACCTTACTTATCCCATTGGTCTTCATTCAGTAGATAGGTATTTCTTGTCTCGCTCTTATTTCTATGCACACTTTGCTGTAATTTACATATGTTGAACGCAAGATGAGTCGAAGTATATCTAGTTACTTTCAAATACATATAAATTCAAAATTCCCGTCCAAGGAATAGTGAGTGTTCTCGATTGTTTACTGTTTGAAGCAATATGTCCCGACTGCCGCTGTGTCTATGAAGCTGGAAAAATATCTATAGTTAAGTTGTTACACTTATTCATCAATACCTTGGTGTCTCGCGGATAGCATCCTCGTTAAAAAATGTA